TCCATATTATATTACATCATGAAATTCCTACCATGAGGTCATCCAATAATGGAGGGTTCACTACCTCTTATGGAAGCTTATTCTATCTTTGGGCAGCTCTGATTATTAGAATCTTTATGTTGAACGGTAGGTGGTCATCTCAAGTACTTTAATACATCTCTTTTTTTATAGTTCAAGGACACAAAGTTCATTTCAGAGAAAAGAGGAGGTTAATATAATTACCACTCTCACTTTCTCTTCTTAAAGTACATACAGTTTCATTTCTGGCCAATCCACAGCTTTCTGAAGGGGACCACTTGAGAAAATTGCTAGGAAAAATAAGCTGAAATTCCCACGGCAGAAGTAAATGTATGCTTCTTCCCTAAGTTCTCATCACTGTTACTCTGGGGTCACCTAGGTAAGAAGAGGAGCCCCAGAGGTGTAGTGGTTAAGAGCTACATCTGCTAACCTAAATCAGCACAAGCATTAATTTCATTCCTTTCACAATTTGATCAGCTTTGGTCAGCGTGCATATAAGCTGCAACTATCTAATTATCTAAACTGACCTCTAAAAATAAAAAAAGTACATGCCTTTTGATCCAGGGATTTATTCTCTCTTTCTCTATAAACAAATATGACCCTGGGTTAACTTTCTAGCTCTATCCCTCTGGAAACCTGATAATGTGGGATATGTCAGCTGAGTTACCAGGTAACAATACTTATGGAAAAAAGATCCCCTGATACGTCTCTGGACTGGATTTACTATAAATACCTTTTGGGAAGCCACAGTCTAGCACTTCCTGATATGCAGAGATTCTTATGGGTATGTTCCTTGCAAGGATCTGGAAGCTATGCCTGTGGAGCTGTTACAAGAGATACTGGTTCCTATTTGGGACATGGCACTTGTAAGCCAGGGTGGTTCCTGCCCTCATCTGTGGTGGTGGAGGGGAAGGGGGAGAGGCACAGAGACTGTTGTTGGAACACTGAGATGCCTGACCTGCCCTGCTAGCATGCTGCGCTTCCTGTCCTGTATCCTTTTAAGCGTAACTTTTGCCAGCATGGCCTATTCAGGTCTTGTGAGTTTGTTTATTGGAACATAAGAACACCCACTAGAAGGCACTGGAGATATGTATAAGTTGCTCATCTGAGCATTGTTTGTGATAAAAAATTTAAAACATAGCTGTTCCTTAACAACTACATATTATATTGTATGTAGTATAATACTACGCAGTATTATATTGTATGTTACAGCCATACAATACTATGTAGCTGTTAAAAAAAAATGAATGTATAGATCCAAGTATACAGTTTATTTTGTTACAGCATGTGATTCTGCAATGTGAATGAGTTCATGTGAGACTGGCAAATAATGGAATGACAGTAGTGTAACAAGGGATCATGTTCATTCATAATTATTTTTCCCAGCCATTTTAATATTTTGTGCCATGAAGTAATAGGAGCTAACCACAAAGTGCACTAATACAGCTAAATACAGAAAACATCAAAGAAATAATGTACTGT